GTGGTTTGGGGTCTAAGTATGAGACCTGGTTTACCCTTTTAGATTTTTTTCTCTTTAGTCTGTTGACCTTTTGGCACCTGGTTCTGTCACTCAACATAGCTTTATCCCTTCTGTTTTCAACATCTACTTATTTATTAAGTGTGCCTTCTCTATCATTATTGATAAATATATTGAACAAGATAGTTCCAAGAACAGAGCCCTGTGGCAGGCCACTAAGTTCATAAACCTCTTGTACCCTTTGAGCATGGTCATTTCACAGTGGTGAACCAACCCTTCAGCCTGTCATTCTCTGTAGCTGGCCTCGAAAGGGTAATGGCAGACCTTGTGAAATTTGAACACAGACAGCCAACATTGCAAAGTCAAAGGCCTACTGGAGGTTGGCAGGTAACACAAGTGAATGAAGTGATAATTAATTCAAGCAATTAATAAGTAATTCCTGACCCCAGCCTTGGTTTCAAGAAGGCAGTGTGGAGTGGGAAAGCTGGGGGTGAGTTGGAGCAGTTGTATTCTGTGTAAGCAGTAGCCTGCTCAGTTACAGACAGATTTGCCCATAGAAGCGTGGACCTTCAAGAAAATCAGATTTCATGTGGAATTTGATTTTCAAATTTTGGGAAAACAAAAACGTTAACACTGGCCAGGTGCAATGGCTCACGCCTGTAATTCCAGCACTGTGGGAGGCCGAGGCGGATGGATCACAAGGTCAGGAGATCAAGACCATCCTGGCCAACATGGTGAAACCCCATTTCTACTAAATACAAAAAACTTGTGGGGCATTGTGGTGCACGCCTGTAGTCCCTTACTCACACTGAGGCGGGAGACTCACTTGAACTGAGGAGGTGAAGGTTGCAATGAGCTGAGATTGCACCATTGCACTCCAGCATGGGCAACAGAGCGAGATTCCATCTCAAAAAAAAACACACACACACAGAACAAAACATTAACACCATATAGGCAACTAAAACAAACTTGGGGCAGATTTGGCCTGAAGCTCTCGGCTTTGTGACCTGTCAGCCACAGTATCTCCTCATCTGCTGGTCCAGTGACCCCATGACTCAAAGCACTAAGATTGTTTGGATGTTGGTAGGTTAATGGCCTTCTGTGGAACCTGACTCCTTGTGGTTCTTACCTGAGTTGTTCTTACATGCAGCAGACTGTCAGCCGGGAAGGATGCTTCTCTTTCTCTTGCCTGTTGGCCCCGTCTCCTGCTGGCAGATTTCCTCTGGCATCACTGACAAGTGTTGAGAAAGGTGTCAGTGGGATCCTTTGGTTGGGAAACAGGAATTCAGAGTTTCTTAAGCTCTCCCCATCCATGCTGGCTTCACTTACCTCTTACCTATGTCTGGTTTTCCCTTTTTCCTCTTTTTGGTCCAAGAAGCATTTTCCTTCCCAGGGAATTCAGAGGCACAAGAGCCATCCTAGCCCTTCGTTGTTCTTATTCACACACCAAAAATAACTTTTTGAATCCCTTTTAGTTGTCCTGACCATTTTGGGGAAGCCTTTGCTCATGTAGCATTAGTCTTCCTGACACTTTTGTAAATCCATGCTACTCTCTGGTGTTTCTTCTTGGCTATGTGTGCTCCCTCCATCTTTTATGCAGGCGCATGTAAGATTTGACCACTTCAGACTGTAGAGCCTCGTGAGCCACCTTCGTTTAGGCTTCTAAGAAAGAACAGAGTGCTGGGTGATCCGCCACATTCCTAGACCTCTGAAAGGCAGTCTTCCACTGGGGTCAGGGAAAGGCTGTTATATTCCATGGCCAGTGGGGATGGCAGGGCCTTCATTTGCCTGAGTGTTGCTGCTCCAGCTATGGGCAGGAAGCACAGGAGTCATTGAGATTTAGACCCTGCCTGGCAGGAGCCACCATCCAGTGGGGGAGGGAGGCAGCTGCTTGAACAAATAACAGTAGTGGCATGTGATAAGTGCTAATAGACATGCCCTGAGAACCCGCGGAAGGAGCCACAGATAATTCTGTGAAGTAGGTAGGGGAGGAGGTGACACTGAGCTGATGCTCGAAGGATAAGCCAGAGAGGCTGCTCTAAGAGGCTGAGAAGGGCATTCCAGGCAATGAGAACTGCGTGTACAAAGCCTGGTGACGTCAGAGAACATGGCCTGTTAGAAAAGCATGAGGGTCTTTTGTGGCCAGAATGGGGGCAGGGATGAGGATGAGGCAGGAACTACAGGCTCTGGCCTCTGCCAACCTCCCACAGAGCTCATCCCAAACCCTAGTTTCCCACCACACTTAGGAGCCCATGATGGTCTCGTCTGACAGTTTTAGGAGTGGCATCATTTTAGCCGCCTATTTAAAACACTTTGAGGCCAGACACAGTGTCTCACACCTATAATCCTGACACTTTAGCAGGCTAAGGCAAGAGGATCATTTGAGGCCAGAAGTTAGATATCAGCCTGGGGCAACATAGCAAGACTCTGGCTCTTTAAAAAAAAAAAAAAAAAAACAAAACAAAAATTTAGCTGGGCATGGTACATGCAGGAAGTCTCAGCTACTTGATAGACTGAGGTGGGAGGATTGCTTGAGTCCAGGAGTTGAAGGCTGCAGTGAGCTATGATCATGCCACTAAACTCTCGCCTGGGTGAGAATGTGTCTCTAAAATAAATAAATAAAACACTTTGTGTTCTACCTGAAGGACTGATTTCTTTTTTAGCTTTTTATTTTTACAGAATTGAAAAATGTATAGAAAAATAGCAGGCATCATACGTGGGACTCCCACATACCCCAAATTTGTAGGTTTTGCCTCATTTACTTATTATTTTGTCTCTATATACATATTTTTTACCTATGCATATAATTCTTTTCTGAACCATTTGAGATTGAATACACGATGTTCCTCAATTTATGAGTCAACTTATGACTGAGTTACGTCCCAATAAACTAATCATAAATTTGAAAGTATTATAAGTCAAAAATGGGCATTTTAGCCAAGTGCATTCCTGTAATCCCAGAACTTTGGGAGGCTGAGACGGGCAGATAACCTGAGGTCAGGAGTTTGAGACCAGCCTTGCTAATTCAGTGAAACCCCATCTCTACAAAAATACAAAAATTAGCTGGGCGTGGTGGCAGGCGCCTGTAATCTCAGTTACTTGGGAGGCCGAGGCAGGAGAATCGCTGGAACCTGGGAGGCAGAAGTTGCAGTGAGCCGAGATTGTGCCACTGCACTCCAGCCTAGGTGGCAGAGCCAGACTCCATCTCAAACAACAAACAAACAAACAAAATGGGCGTTTTACAGACATGATGAGATTTTAAAACACAGCACAATATCCAGAAAGCCCTAACAGTGCGGAACACTGTGGAGCCTCAGTTGTTTACCTTGGTGATTGCGTGGTTGACCCAGGCCTCTGGCTTGCTGTCACTGCCCAGGGTCGCAAGCCTCAGAAAAGATTAAAATTCAAAGTATGGTTTCTATTGAATGCATGTCACAAAGTCGGAATCTTAAGTGGAACCATCGTAAGTTGGGGACTGTCTGTACTGTCCCTTTACTTCTAAACACTTCAGTGTGTGTATCTTGAGAACAAGGGCACTGTCTTACATAACTCGTTGTCTAATGGTCCAAGTCAAGATTAGGAATGACAGAATATTATCTTATCCACGTTCATATTCACATTTCATGAGTTGTCCCAAGTAAAAATAGTGCTGTTTTTCCCCAGTCTAAGGTCTAACTCATGAACATGCATTTAGCTGTTCTTTTTGGTCTGTGTAAGCTAGAAGAGATTGTTTTTCTTGACTTTGAACTTTTTTGAAGAGAACAACCCAGGTACTTTCTAGAACACCTTTTAGTTTGGGTTTATTGGATGTTTCCTCATGATTAGATTCAGGTTATACATTTTGGCAGGAGTTCTGTGTGAGTAGTATTAAGTCCTTCGCAATGTCTTACATCAAGAGGCATATGGCATTGGTTTGTCTTAGTATTGGTGGTGATGATAACTTTGTCATTTGGGTTAAGGTGGTGTCTACCAGATCTCTCCACTACAGTTACTATTGCACTCACGTAATTTTCGAGGAGATGCTTTAAGACCATGCATACATCCTGTCCCTTATCAAGCTTTCACCTGCTGCCACTGATGACTTTCTAAATCCCTCAATTCTTCTGTAATTTGTCTTAGCATTCTGTAGTAAGGAAGAGCTTTCCTCTCCTCAGGGATGGGTCTGCAAACTCAATTTCACATCTTTGTTTTCACTTTGAACTTGCTGGGCTGGGCCCTCCTGGCCCTCTTCCTCTCATCCTCCTCCTTTGGTGTGCTTTTGTGGGTATGAGGTATATAATGGTCATTCCTGGGCTCAGGGAGAGGCTTGGATCCTTCTCTAAGCAGCAACTTGCTTGTCTTTGGCATGACTGACCCAGCATGGGGCTAAATGCATACCGTGTCAGATCATCAGGCCTGGGGCTGTGTGTGGAAATGTGGTCTGTTGCCAGCTTTCCGTGCTCAGCCTGGCCTTAAGTGAGGATAGTTTTAGGAGGAGAAAGGTACTCTGGGTTCCCACTAGGAAGCCATGGCTGACCCTGGTCTAGGCTGAATTTGTTCATCAAAGTTCCTCTTTCCCTACCCGGATGAACCCACACTTCATGCTTAGAGCACATGTATACACACAGGCTTGGTTGGATTTCTTTTCATCTTGACAAAAAACAAAGTCCTAGTGTGACTTTAATCATTGTGAATTAAGGATCCTTTTGTGTGTCCCTGGTTTTAGGAGAGCCTGATTCGTGTGATTGATCTGAGGCTCTGAAAGTTTCTGAGCAACATTAAGAATGTCACATTAGGATCTTCTCTTTAAAAGTATCTTAAAGATCTTTTTATTTCTGCTGGTGGAGCTCGCTAGGGAACCAGAGACACGGGAGGATGAACTGGAGGCTGAAGAAGTACCAGAGAGAGGATTTGTGAGAAAAGTTGGGGGTCAGATGTGATTCCTGAGTGGTATGAAGCAGGGAAATGCTTTTCAAATAGTGTGGTTCATTTTTTTCCTTTTTCCCCCCTCTCTCTCTCTTTAGACAGGCTCAGAGCTCAGCCCAGTTGATGGACCTGTTCCAGGTCAGATGGACTCAGGGCCAGTGTACCATGGGGACTCACGGCAGCTAAGCGCCTCAGGGGTGCCGGTCAATGGTGCTAGAGAACCCGCTGGACCCAGTCTACTGGGGACTGGGGGTCCTTGGCGGGTAGACCAAAAGCCCGACTGGGAGGCTGCCCCAGGCCCAGCTCATACTGCTCGCCTGGAAGATGCCCACGATCTGGTGGCCTTTTCGGCTGTGGCCGAAGCTGTATCCTCTTATGGGGTCCTTAGCACCCGGCTCTATGAAACCTTCAACCGTGAGATGAGTCGTGAGTCTGGGAACAACAGCAGGGGACCCCGGCCAGGGCCCGAGGGCTGCTCTGCTGGCAGCGAAGACCTTGACACACTGCAGACGGCCCTGGCCCTCGCGCGGCATGGCATGAAACCACCCAACTGCAACTGCGATGGCCCAGAATGCCCTGACTACCTCGAGTGGCTGGAGGGGAAGATCAAGTCTGTGGTCATGGAAGGAGGGGAGGAGCGGCCCAGGCTCCCAGGGCCTCTGCCTCCTGGTGAGGCTGGCCTCCCAGCACCAAGCACCAGGCCACTCCTCAGCTCTGAGGTGCCCCAGATCTCTCCCCCAGAGGGCCTGCCCCTGTCCCAGAGTGCCCTGAGCATCGCCAAGGAAAAAAACATCAGCTTGCAGACCGCCATTGCCATCGAGGCCCTCACACAGCTCTCCTCCGCCCTCCCGCAGCCTTCTCATTCCACCCCCCAGGCTTCCTGCCCCCTTCCTGAGGCCTTGTCACCTCCTGCCCCTTTCAGATCTCCCCAGTCTTACCTCCGGACTCCCTCGTGGCCTGTGGTTCCCACTGAAGAGCACTCATCTTTTGCTCCTGATAGCTCCACCTTCCCTCCAGCAACTCCTAGAACTGAGTTCCCTGAAGCCTGGGGCACCGACACCCCTCCAGCAACGCCCCGGAGCTCCTGGCCCATGCCTCGCCCAAGCCCTGACCCTATGGCTGAACTGGAGCAGTTGTTAGGCAGTGCCAGTGATTACATCCAGTCAGTATTCAAGCGGCCTGAGGCCCTGCCTACCAAGCCCAAGGTCAAGGTGGAGGCACCCTCTTCCTCCCCAGCCCCGGCCCCATCCCCCGTACTTCAGAGGGAGGCTCCCATACCTTCCTCGGAGCCCGACACCCATCAGAAGGCCCAGACCGCCCTGCAGCAGCACCTCCACCACAAGCGTAGCCTCTTCCTAGAACAGGCACACGACACCTCCTTCCCTGCTCCTTCGGAGCCTTCTGCTCCTGGCTGGTGGCCCCCATCAAGCTCACCTGCCCCACGGCTTCCAGACAGACCACCCAAGGAGAAGAAGAAGAAGCTCCCAACACCAGCTGGAGGTCCCTTGGGAACGGAGAAAGCTGCCCCCGGGATCAAGCCTAGTGTCCGAAAGCCCATTCAGATCAAGAAATCCAGGCCCCGGGAAGCACAGCCCCTCTTCCCACCTGTCCGGCAGATTGTCCTAGAAGGGCTCAGGTCCCCGGCCTCCGAGGAAGCGCAGGCTCATCCACCGGCCCCTCTGCCTGCCTCACAGGGCTCTGCTGTGCCCCTGCCCCCAGAACCTTCTCTTGCGCTATTTGCACCTAGTCCCTCCAGGGACAGCCTGCTGCCCCCTACTCAGGAAATGAGGTCCCCCAGCCCCATGACAACCTTGCAGCCAGGCTCCACCGGCCCTCTTCCCCCTGCCGATGACAAGCTGGAAGAGCTTATCCGGCAGTTTGAGGCTGAATTTGGAGATAGCTTTGGGCTTCCCGGCCCCCCTTCTGTGCCCATTCAGGACCCCGAGAACCAGCAAACTTGTCTCCCAGCCCCTGAAAGCCCTTTTGCCACCCGTTCCCCCAAGCAAATCAAGATTGAGTCTTCAGGGGCTGTGACTGTGCTCTCAACCACCTGCTTCCATTCAGAAGAGGGAGGCCAGGAGGCCACACCCACCAAGGCTGAGAACCCACTCACACCTACCCTCAGTGGCTTCTTGGAGTCACCTCTTAAGTACCTGGACACACCCACCAAGAGTCTGCTGGACACACCTGCCAAGAGAGCCCAGGCCGAGTTCCCCACCTGCGATTGCGTCGGTAAGTCCGCCTGGGTATCAGGGAAGGGCAGAGAAAGGGCTGTGGCCCGGTGAGCTACGTTTTCTAGGCTCTGTCTTTCATTTGGCAAACGTTTATTGTGTGCCAACTGCCACACTGAGTTCTGGGAACACAGAAATGAGCTCATAGCCTAGTGGAAAAGACATTGAAAGAAACTGACGTGATACTTTGGGGTATGCCACGTTGGTAGAGGTGGGCATAGGTGCTTTGATACACAAATGGAGGCGAAGGCATAATAGATGCCTTCCTGTAGGAGGTAGTGTTTGTGCCGAGCCCTGCAGAGCCATCAGGTGGAAAGGACACGTCTAAGAAGAGGGACAGTTTGGGCAACAGCTTAGTGGCTGTGAGGGAATGGGACTTACTTGGACTCTTCTTGGTCATGCAGGAGCAAAAGGGGTCGGGTATATGTGGGGATGAACAAAAGGTGGCCTGATGGGTGGGGAGGATGGTCGGGGGCCAGATTGTATAGGGCCCAGGGAGCCAAGGCCAAGCGTTTGACTTGACCCCACAGATAGTAGTGAGCTCCTGAGGATTTTAAAGCAAGGAATGCCCTGTCACCTCATGCTTTTGAAAGACATCTGGCTTGTGGTGGGGAGGAAAGCTTTGAGGGGTTGAGGAGACATAGCTGTTAAGAAAGCTTGTTGTCATGAGCCAGGCAAGAAATGACAAGGGCCTGGCATGAAACAGCCGGTGGCAGAGGGAGGGCTTGGAAGGTCTCCGGAGGAAGTCGTGTAGGAGGAGGGGATGAGACACTGCAGGCCTCTGCCTGGGGTGGTGGTGTTCACTGAGAACATGGATTGGGAGGACAGGAAGTAAGTTCCCTTTAGACGAGCTGCATCTGAAGGGGCCAGGAGACCAGGTCAGGGTCTGAGTTACACGTTTGGACGTAGTTAGCATGCAAGTCATAGTTGAAGCTGTGCTGTGCATAAGAGAGCACTAAGGAGTTGAGTCAACTTCAGTCTTGCTTTCTGGAATGAGAGAAGGGTGCAGGCTGCTGAGGAACCCTCCCCTCTAAGTGTGCTCTCTCTGGGAGGTCCCTGAGGCAGTGGTAGGCTCCAGGTCCGCTTGGTTCCCACGCTCTGTTTATGGAGTGTTCTGTAAAAGATATGTACGTTTCAGATGTTGACAGAAAACACGGTGATGCTGGCGATGAGCATATTGAATTCTTGTCTTTTTATGATACACAGACGGGTCTTGGGAAAAGGCTGTCTTCCCAACTTGTGAAAATATGTAAATATCAAGTAAGTCATGGACTTGTTGGGATGTTGTCTCCCGGTCAGTGAGGAGGAGCTGGGCTGTTCTGCCTGCTACAGCCACCCCCCAACTCCTGGGGTATGAGGCAGAGGGGTGGGTGACAAGGAGTCACGTGTAGAAGAAGGAAAAGCTGGCCCCAGGGCTCACACCTGGTGGTGAACCGATATGCTGCCAGGCACTCACAGACATGCTCCGAGATTGTGGTTCCCACTGGCCCTGTCCATTCTTAGATATGACTAGTAATGACATGACTTCCAGGGCCCTCTTATTTAGCAGCATACAGGGGAAACTTATTCTGATCATGGGGTCCGCCTACCCTTTTCTCCGTGTGTGTATATGTCTGTCCCATCCGCCTGTGTTGAGCATCTCATTTCTCCTTCTACAATGTGGGAAATTTTCTTAGTGTTTTAAGACAAAGTTGATCCTTATTAAATATTTTAATTGTTGAATTTAATTGTAATTATATCATGTGTGGTCAAACTAGTTTTTAAATTTGCATCCCAACGCCATCACTTACTAGCTGGGAGGGCTTGGGCTTTTTACATAACCCATCAGGGTTTCTGCTTCCTCATATGTAAAATGAAAATGATAATAGTACCTACCTCACCGCGGCTGTTGTAAGGATGAAATTAGTTACTGTGTGTAAAGCACTTAGAGCTGTGTTGGCACAAGAGTGTCGGCTGTTATCAAGCCTATCAAGTTCAACCAGGCAAGAAAAGTAAAACCGTACCTTTGTAAAGGAAAAAAAAAAAGTTGGCTGTTTCTTTAATTTATTAATTACCTAGCCATATATAACTACCAGTAACGATAAAATTAAGAGAAATGGTTCATCACTGAAGGATTTTGTGGTTTACTTTGTTTTTTTGTGTGTTGTTTGTTTGTTTTTTGTTTTTTGTTTTTTTTTAGACAGAGTCTCACTCTGTTGCCCGGATTGGAATGCAGTGGCACAATCTCTGCTCACTGCAACCTCTACTTCTTGGGCTCAAGCGGTCTTCCCACCTCAGTCTCCTGAGTAGCTGGAATTACAGGCGCATACCACCATACTTGGCTAATTTAAAAATATTTTTTGTAGAGACAAAGTCTCGCTGTGTTGCCCAGGCTTGTCTCAAACTCCTGGGCTCAAACGATCCTCTCTTCTCAGCCTCGCCAAGTGCTGGGATTATAGTCATGAACGACTGTGCCCAGCCTATGGTTTACTTAAGGAAAAAAAAAAAATAGACAATAAAGTATTTAGTTACCCACTCAACCAGTGTGTGCTGAGTGCCTTTTGCGTCCAAGGCCCATGCTGTTGTATGGAAGTGGCAAAACTATAGGAGTGCCCTGGAGCTCCAGGCTGGGTTGTCATCATGGGAGGTCATGTTTCATCTCGGAAACTTGTTTAGAGCTGGGTTTTGAAAACTGTAGTGAACACAGATGGGGAGAGGTGAAAAGGCTTTTCAGACCGCGGAGTACATAAGCACAGTCTTGGGGCAGAAGGAGCAAGCCTGTCAAGACTGCAAGGGTGACCTGAAACCTCTGTTCTCCTGCATTCCTCGGACCTGAGGAGCCCCCACTAGAGAGGATACGTCTTCGCTTGAAGGCCGTAAGCCAAAGTGCAAGCATACGTCGGCATCAGAGAAACCAGATCTCCAGAAACTGGGGGGTAACAACACTTTGTGTTGTTAAATTCAAGGAAAATACTTAGGTGAAAACAGCAGAAACACATTGTAAATTATCTTCTCAGTTAAGTTTTTAAAAATGGAAAATAGACTAGGAGAAAATATATCAACAGTGGATTGTCTCTATGGTCAGAGTATGGATGATATTTCCCTTATGTGTTTTCTGCATTTTCTACAATGAAATTTGTATTTTATAACCAAGAAATATATGTGAAAGTGCACGCTAACAGGAGCATGGAAGGTGGATTGGCAAAGAGTGATTACCCTGTGTCAGGAGACCCGTTAGGAAGCTGTTGAGAGTCATAGTGCTTATGAAGCACCTGCTCTGGTCTAGGCACCCTGCCAAGTGCTTCACAGTCACCACCTCACTTAATCCTCATAGCAGCTATGTGAGGTAAGTACTGTCAGGGGCTCCATTTTAGTCATGAGCAAACAGAAGTTGGATTAAGTAATTTACCAAGACCATACAAACTAGTGAAAGTGAGATTAGAACCTCTTAACCACCATACCATATTGTGATCAAAACTGGTCAGTTGAGAAACAAGTCCTCGCTAAAACAATAGTAGTAGAATGAAGAGGGCCAACGAAGAGATTTGCTCTGAAACAGTTTCTGGAAGGCCTGAGGTTCGTGTTAGGAAAACCCATTCTGTTTTCCAGAATTGTCTAGCCAGATGCTTCTCACTTTGTTGCCCAGGCTGAGATGGAGTGGTGCCATCTCGGCTCTCTGCAACCTCTGCCTCCTGGGTTCAAGCAATTCTCATGCCTCAGCCTCCCTAGTAGCTTGGATTACAGGCACGCACCACCTGGCCTGGCTAACTTTTTGTATTTTAGTAGACACGGGGTTTCACCATGATGCCCAGGCTGGTCTCAAACTCCTAAGTTCAGGCAGTCTTCTTGCCTCAGCCTCCCAAAGTGGTAGGATTACAGGCGCGAGCCACTGCGCCTGAAGAGGCGCTTCTTCGTTTGGTATGGTAGAATTTGTCTTTGTATTCAGGCTCAGAACAAGGCTTAGAAATCAAAGTACTCACTCTGGGATTACAATGGGACAATCCTATATTCCAGAAACTTATCCGCTCACCAGTAGTAGGTAGAGAGTTGCAGGTTAATATAAGGAAGAATTTTCCACAGAAGTGGAAGTAAAATATGGAGACTCCGTGAAGTCACCCAGTAACTGATAACAGAATATGGGAACAAATTCATAAAAGCATATAAGTTCTTAGAGCAAAACAAACCACCAACCTCTCAAGTTATTTGGTAATTTGGCCAAATAAACCATTTAGCCAATATGGGCATCACCACATAACCAAAGACCCCAACCACCTTATATAAAAATGATGGGTTTCTGAAGGTCTGGATAGGACGCATATGTATTTTTTTATCTGAATCTTGAAGTACTAGAATTAAAGGTACCCCTTAAAGCTTCAAAGAAGTAAATTTATAAGCTATGAAAGGAAATGCCATTCTCTAAAAGGTAGCATGATGTTTATAGGTTTGAGAATATTTAACACAAGTTGAATTTCTATATTGAATTATTGCAGGTGACTTGCAGTTGTGGATATATTTCTAATATTTAAAAATGCACATTGGCGATTCCCCCCACCCCCACTGCCCCCAACCGCCTACAGCACCATTGTCAGAAGCAGGACAAGGAGCTATAGAGACTGTTGTTCTCTATGCCTTTGTGTATTTTGTCTATTTTCAGTGACAGGGAAATTCCCAAGAGGAGCCAGTTTAGGACAGAAAATGAATCCGAATGCCTTTTTAGTGGGCAAAGCATCCTTTGAGATCATCTAGTCACTGTCTCAGAGATGAGGAAGCAGTCTGTGTTAGTTTCTAAGTGTTGTCCTGATGTCTCCGAGGAGCAGCCAACAGGAAGCTGCAGAGACTAAACCACAGCAAAAGCAGGAGGTTAGGAGGTGTAGATTTAGTGGTGGCCTTCATAGAAATATGTCGTATCTTTTATTTTATTTTTATTTTTTAATTGCATTTTAGGTTTTGGGATACATGTGAAGAACATGCAAGATTGTTGCATAGATACACTCGTGGCAGTGTGATTGCTGCCTTCCTCCC